TAGCATAGTGGCTAAGGCACTTGACTGCTAACCAGAAGGCTGGCGGTTCAAACCCACCAGTCACTCCTTGGAAGGAAGGTTGGGCAATCTACTTCCATAGTGATACCGCCTTGGAAACCCAAGGAGGGGTCACTACGAGTCAGGGCTGAGTTGACGGCACAAAACAACAACAAATCTAACCTCAAAAAGTATAAAACACCTCAGTTACTGATCTACCATTATTCAAAATGAATAATGAGAGAAAAATATTTCCGACTTAATTTCTCTCTGACTTCAGCTAACAATCCTCTTTTCCTTCCTGCACATATAAGTCTGAGAACCAGCCACTCTTCGACATTCCTAAGTGAAGCATCACCACTCACAGTTCTTCAGTATGACACTGCTGGAATATGAAGTCTCAACTTTCATTTTAAACCTCAAACTACCTCTCAAGGAATCTCATTTTCCAAAACAAACAATTCTACAAACTCTAGTGCCAGGCTACGCTAGTCTCTGAGGCCTTACCACCATCTCAGCCATTCTGCACCCTCCTCGGGTCTCAATGAATGAGTTCTTTCCGTAAATGGCTTCCTTTGCAGGGCACACCCAACAATTCTTTTCAGCCTCAAGAATTACACCCTCATTTTGCTGTATTTCTCCCCACCTATTTAGAGTATGATGAGAACGAAACAAGAGTGATAGTTCTGGATACACAGCAGGCAAGCTACCTGGAAATGCCCAGGATAAAGACCAATCACAACAATGCTTTAAAAGACCAAGAATACAAGGCTTTGAGTGAGATTCTGAACAGTAGCATAGTAGTAAACTTAAGTAAACACTATGTGTGTGGGGTGGGGGCATCAAATTAAAGCCAACTGTAACTTTTAAAGAGGCTTCCCAGTCAGAGAAGCTCCTTAAAAAGACCTCAACCCCACATTCCACTTCAGAAAGCTCCCCCAGCAACAGGCACTTGTAAAGTCTCTGCCTCCAGAGCTACCAATTTAATTGCATTAATGAATCCTTGGCTTTAAATTAATTTAAATCCAGATAAAGTTTTTTATACGTAGCCAGCCATACTATGATCCTTGTTTAATGAGGACCAACTTGCTTTCTTCCTGTTGTTATCAGGTGCCTTTTAGTTGATTCCAATTCATAGTGACCCTCTGTGCAACAGAACTAAACACTGACCAGTAGGATACCAGATTCACTGGGGGTTTCAAGGTTTTGATTAGTGAGTGGGCTGGGGTTAGGGGTTAGGGGTTAGGATTGGTGTGGCAGGAAAGGAAGAAGAGGTCATTTTGGTAAATGCTTCCGAATGAAGTGCTACAGTGAGAAGGGTTTTGACAGCAACAGGAGGGGCCAAGATACTGGGGATCAAGGTAACAGCACTATGAGAAAATGCAAGAATGCAGTAGAAAAAGTTTATCATCAAATTTGCTAAAAATTCTGAAAGCTACAAACACCAGAGACTTCTGTGACACCTTTAACACGGGTCTCCTTCAAACTAAGAGAGGATTAACTTAATAGTAGAACATTTTATCTTACTGCCAATGAATCTGGAATTATTTGCTCTGCTCCTGAACACTGACAATCTTTTCAGACAAAGGGTAACAACCGTTTCTGTTTTAAAATCAAGAAGTTGAAGGAAAAAGCTATTTTTAGCCAAAAACCGAAATCTAAAAACACCTATTTTGTTCTGTCTCAGAAGGAACCACGATGCCTTATTTCATCAGCTGTAGAAGCCCTTCTGTAACCAGTTCCCTCTGCATTTGAACAATACTTCCTCAGTTATAAATAAATGTAAACTATGCTTGACAGGCCTAATCAAGACCTAAGTCCACTTGCAGGTGACGACAACCGAGTGAGAGGAGGAGCAGGTCCTTTTTCACGGAGCATGACACATACAGATTGTTCCAGCAGAGTGAGAGTGCCACTGTCCATGTCCGGAAAGCTCACAATCATTACTAAAGACATCCTCAATTTCCTTGCCTATAAACCGTGGCGAAGGATGCATGTCTAATTCCTCTGAACAGGGACGAGTTGCAATCTTAAATGGCTTTGACATGGGCGAAATCTCACAATTGCTATTTCGTAACTATTCTTTATAAAGCTTATAATTGTCTTTCAAGTTAACTGCTTTGTAGGCTATCACTGACACTCAGACTTTCACAAACTTCCTTGCCTGGGCGCCTGAGATCTAACATACTAATGCAGATCGCCCAAGTTTGCTTTTTCATCCCATCTACGGATACCTCACTCCTCACGCCTCTACCAACACCTCTGATAGACCCTTCAAACCACACTCGAGAAGACCAGGCAGGGGAGGGACGCGACAGTCTTAAAGGTGCATACAGCTTTCCCTCGCTTAAAGAGGCGCTCTCATGCGAGCGGCTCAAGATGTTATCCAAAGCTCCTGCCAGATGTGCTAAACAGGGGAGGCAGCTGGAGGCTGGGGAGAGCTGGAGTGCCGGAGACTGTAGGCAGGCTAGGGTGGAAAGGGCAATCAGGCAGAGAAAAGAAGAAACCAGTGCAACTCAAAAAAGAGAGGAGGCAAGAGACAAAGCCCTAGAGAAACCTGATGAATTCGTGACTCGGAGGATTTCGGAGGGTCCAGTTCTCTCACCAGAAAGCTGCGTTCAGCCCCAGGCACCACAGGGCGCTCCTAGCTGGCCGCTCCCACACCAAGGCTGCCTGCACCCGGCTCAGCAGAGGCTCGTAAGGCCCCAGCACTTCCACCAGGACCCGCTGCACCGCTTCAACATGCTGGTCCCGCTCCCAGGAGCCTGACATAGCACGGCGGCCCCTAAAAGTCGGCCCACATGCTGGGCCTGGGGCCATGGCCACCCCCTCAGGTTCCGCCATCTCCCCCCGGCAGCCACAACATCCGGGGCCACGGCCCTACGGTCACAATAACACCAAGTACGCAGATGCAAGATTCGGCGGGGGAGGCCGCTTCCTTCCACAGAGCGCTTGCGCACAGGCTCAAGTACGTGTCCACCGGGGAAAAAGAAGAACGCTAAGTTACGCCCCCCAGCGCTATAGCAATCTGAGCCCCCGCGCACGCGCAACCAGCGTAGTTGTTAAATGCTGGTGGGTTGGGTTCAGATTAACATCAACTCTGTGTACAGCAGAATCAAGCACTGTCCCAAGCTGCAACATCCTCACAGTTGTTGCAATGTTTGAGCCCATTGTTGCAGCCCCTATGTCAGTCCGTCTCTTTGAGGGTCTTCCTCTTTTTCGCTGACCCCTCTACCAAGCCTGAAGTCCTTTTCCAAGGACTAGTCCCTTATGATCACATGTCGAAAGTACGTGAGACAGGAGGGAATCCGTGCAGGAGATTCTTCCTGGGTAAAGTGGAAGAACAATGTGGAACAAAACTCAAAATCATTAAAAAAAAAAAAAAAAAAAAACACGGTTGCTGGACTTATAGAATCTGTCAAGACCCCTGAGACTAGAGTCCCTAGTTACCCTTCAGGTGTGGAACTGAACTCACTCCTGTGGCTTCCAGCCAAGTAGGCAGATAGGGTAAATATTTACATAGGGTAGATACACTCCTTGGAGTGCTTCCATCACTCAATCACTCTCTCAGTGGGAGAACAGAAGGGCAGTGCTTGCACAGGGAGATAGGAGTGGAGAGAATGTATGGGGGGAAAAGGACCCAAGGAAGAGGTAATTACTGGGAGGAAATAGGAAGAGAGCTGTTACATTGTGGGGAATGGCAGTCAATGTTATGAAACAAAATGTGTACGAATTGCTGTATGGAAAATGAATTTGCTCTGTAAACTTTCTCCCAAATCACAATAAAAATTTTAAAAAGTAAGAAAGAAAGTACGTGAGATGAAGTGTCACCATTCACCTTTCTAATGAGCTGTACTTCTTCTGAGACAAATTTGCTCCTTCTGACAGTCTGTTGTATATTCAATATTCTTCACCAACACCATCATTCAAATGCATCAGTTCTTCTGTCTTCCTTACTTATTATCCAGTGTTCGCAAGCATATAACCAAAACCATACCCACTGCCATAGACTGGATTCCAAATCGTAGTGACTCATTAGGACAGAGCAGAAATGTGCCATAGGGTTTCCAAGGCTGTAAATGTTTACAGAAACAGACTGCCTCATTTTTTGTCCCATGCAGTAACCGGTGAGTTGAAACCATCGACCTTTTGGTTAGCAGCTGAATGCTTTAACCACTGCACCACCAGAGCTCCTTTGCCTGTGACTGAAAATACCGTGGCTTGGGTCAGGCACATCTTAGCTCTCAAAGTGACATCTTTGCTGTCAAACATTGATATACAGGTAGACAGAAGGGTGGACAGGTTGAACGACTAGATATGTCTATGCAGGAGGGAGTGTGCCCATGATCATGTATAGGGTTAGGCAGACAATGTTTCTACAAGTGTATTTGTATGTTCTGTAAGAATTTCCAGGTATATAATAGAGCTGACAAGGCACAAGGTTGTAGTCACTTCTTGGCCACAGCCAGCTACCCAGAGGGAGTGAGCAGTTGGACCTGTGGGCTCAGGACCATGGTCTCAGAGGACATCAAGCTCAATCGGCATAACATACTACACAGAAACATTGTTCCACATCCTACTTTGGCGAGTAGCAACTAGGATCTTAAAAGCTAGCAAGCGGCCATCTAGATGCGACAAT